ATAAAAATTTTAAATTGTTTCAGAAAATTGCACCATTATATTGAAATATCTACTATAATGGGGTCTGTTATAGTGAGGGTAAACTGTACTAAGTGAAGATATTTAGCCTTCTAAAATAACCTAACCTCTACTTTAATTTAAACCTTAAACTCTAATCCTAAAGTTTAATTTTATTTTAAAGTTTGAGGTAAATTTTTTATAAATTTTAAAGGTTAATTTAACTTAAAATTTGAGGCAAAATTTTCTATAGATCAAATGCTAATTAAAAACATATTGTGGTGAATTTCACCTCTAGTGAATGTTAAGTAAATTCAAATTTTTATTTAACTTTTTTTTTTCTAGCCATTGTTTTATTAGAAAGTGTTTGATTTGAAAGTAGTCTATAGAACAAACCAGTCTCATTAGCATTGTAGATATCTTCTAGATCGTAGTAGAAGAGAATTCCTTGTAATTTGATACGTTCTGCTGGTAAAGTTTCTAAAGGCGCACTTGATGCTTCGCCATGCATTGTAATTCTTCTTAACTTATTACATCTTTTGAATTTAGTAATCTACCTATTAAAAAATGAGAATGATTCTTGAGGAATAGAAAGTGCTTCTGCAAACTAATAGCTCTTTTCTTTTACTAAGAAATCTAATATGATTAGTCCATTTGCTGTAACCCGTTCCACCCACATATTCATAGCATGTTCTAATATTGGATATTTCACAGAATAATGATGAAAGGTTTTTTCACTTTGCTCACTATCTTTAAGTTTTTTATACTCATTGGCTTTTTTCAAGATTTTTGACACGATGAAGCAATTAATCTTTAAATCAGGATAATGCTTCATGAACTCGCTTGCTATGTTATAATGTTTAAGATTCTGATTCTTTTCTGCAAATTCACATATCTCTTTTTTTTGTCTATCACTAAGATGACAACGTGTTTGTTTAAATGCGGGTTGGGGTGGCATAGTACTGAATTGAATCTTTTGAAAAGACAAATTTTTTTTTTTTTCTTAAATACATTTTGGATCAGAATTTTTAAATCATATCAATTATCCTTTTTG